TGACAGCCCTAAATGCAACCTGTGCTTTTTTTCCATGGTTAATAAAGAATACAAGAATTCTTTATTAACCTACAACTATTGGCAAAAACATGAAAAATGTTAATTCTGTGTATATTTAAGAGAAGAAGCATTTTAAATAGTGTAACAGTGGGTTACAGCTCAGGACAGTGTTCCAAGAGTTTATTATGACCATTAGGCAATAATCCTGTGACTATGTTTCTTCTTTTTCACGTTTAAAGTGTGAATGTGTAATTAGATGTTTTGATTTTGTCACGGTTCTGGGTCAGTTTGACCCAGTATTTTGAGTTATGTTTTGGTTTATTTTTGAATGATGGATTGTTCTTTATGTTTCTCTGGTGCTTTGTTGGGTTTTTGTGATGAATCTGCGTTTCAAGTTACTTTGGTGTGTTTGTTTTCTTATTCTCTTAGTGCTTGTGATGATGATGATTATGATGATGTTCTATGTTCCAGCTTATTCTGGTTTATTTTTAGTTCTGCCCGTGTTAAGTCTGTTGCTTAGTCTGCGTCCTTGTGTCTTATTTCCTGTTTTATTGTGAAAGTCTGTCTTATGTTAGTGTGTGCAGCTTTACTCCCCCTGTCTCGTTAGTCCAATTTCTCCCAGCTGTGTCTCCCTCCTGTTGCCCATTCCCTGATTACCACCCTGTGTATATTAGCCCTGTGTTTTCCAGTGCTCAGTGTCGCGTCGTACCCTCAGAATTATGCCTGTGTGTTCAGTTCTCAGTGTCATTGTTCACTTCATGTTTTTGTTTATCACCAGCAATAAAGCTAAGGTTCTCAGTTTCAATTCAGTCTCAGAGTCTCGCATTTGGATCCTCCTCTCCATCTGCCTGCACACAGAGCCCTGACAGATTTTGACATTTAAATGCACTGTAAAATTCCTGATCCTGTGCCTCATATGCTTTTTGCTGCATTCTTGTGACTAATGAACAAAGTATGCATAATACAGTTTTTAAAAATTTGTGCACTCCCATGTGATTTGTTTCGGATAAAACAACATTACCGTCACTGATCCACGGTAAGAAAGACGGACAGGGGACGGACACATTTCCAGGAGAAGAGTGGGGCCAACACACAAACATGTCAAACGCTCCTTTGCAGTAGTTTCCTGCAATAAAAATAATGCTTGAGGATTTTGTAAAGGTAATAAAAAATGAAAAATATGAAGGCTTGCAGAAGGCTTACCAGTTATTGAGAGTGCACTCGCTACCAGAGTTTTATTGCAGTTCTTCGAGTATTCATTCCGCTTAGCAATCAGACTTTCAAGCAGTGAACCTGTTACCTGCAGATGGAGAAAGAAGTGAGAGAAAAACTGTTATTTGATACGTTTTTGTTTAGGATGATATCTGGGAAAGAATTGTTTAAGATACTTGTATAAAAGACCACATAAACAGTACAACGTACAAAACGCTGAATATTTGACTGATTGATTTTTATCAGGGGAACATCGTTATTGGTAATGAAATTCATGGACTCCAAACTCTCAAATTTGCCCACTAAAATAACAACAAAAATTAAAAAATAACAGTTAAAATTTAATTAAAAGTATAACACACAGGTTGTGTGAATAACATTTTGGAATATAGTTAATCACGAGAAGAAAACCCATCATCTTAAAAGTACCTTTCACTAAAATAGTTTAATTATGGGTGTTTTCAAATGTGTCCAGATGTGAGACGCTGTCTTTTTCCTTTACCAAGGCACGCTTACACATAAGGATGTTTTCCTAATGACTTCTCTAACTGACTAACTGCACCATCTTATGGCACACACTTGTGTTACATGAAAGTAAAGATGAGTTTTAAACTTAAGATATTAGTTCAACACAATACCAAATGTAGATGTCTAGAACATGAAGTCATGGTGTTGTTTCTTCAGATTGTTGTAGCTCATTTTCGGAGGTTTTAAATATTTCTAAGTGCAGCATTTTAAAAAAGAACCTCTAACCAAGCTCAGGAAGGCCAACAGGGATAACATGTATAAAAGTACATCAATAAGATTCAGTTTAATCTTCATTTTAATGAGGTTTGAAACACCTTCTGTGACACAAACATTTTCTTTGTTTTCATGTCCTTTACAATAATCGTGTTTAATGGCATTTTCTTATTATTAATAATGTGCCAGCAAACATGACTGTGTGTGCCTACAGGTCCAACAATAGTTGGGGTGTCTACATGGGTTTTCTTTGAGTAAAGCTAGTATAAATTGTCCACCAAAAAACCCCATTAGGAGACCAGAGGAGTGAAACTACTGTCTGGTCTGCATGGACCAGCCTGGAGGCTATTCCCAAGCAACCATGTGACGTACTTTATATTGCATGTTTTTCAACTGACACTGACATGAGCCAAGGCCTGTTTGTTAATACAAATATCTAATCAGTCGATTACACTGCAGCACATCAATGCTTTTAAACATGTAGACATGGAAAACAGAACCTGCTCAAGTTCAAACCCAGCATCAGAACGTGGAACAAAGGCAAATTAGGGACTCTGAATGTGCCATGGTTGTTGGTGAAAACAACTTTAGATCTGCTGAGACTTTCCTGCATAATCATCTCAAGAAAATAATAGTAAGCAGTAGTTCTCTGTGCAAAAACGCCTCATTGATGCCAGAGGAGAATGGCTAGCATGCATTGAGCTGACAGGACTGTATGCCAAAGAGCATACACAATGCATTGATCCTTAAAACAGAATGGCTGCAACACCTGAAGACCACCCAGTGTACCACTCCAGTCAACGAGGAGGCAACGACAACCGATGATTGAAAAAATGTTTCCTGATCTGAGGCGTCATCATCATATGATTCATTTGAAGGAGCAGCTGTGGCTGCAACTGTATCCACCAGTGTATGAATGTGAGAGTGAATGAATACTGGTATTGTAAAGCGCTATATAAATGCAATCCATTATTTATGTATTTAAGTGAATGCTTAGTATCCTGTGTAATCATTGCATATTTACCATATTAAGTTACTCAGAAGGAGTTTATGAAAGGAGCACAGTTTAATTTTAAGTTTTTGCTAATTAATTTTGCTTCCACTTAAGTGAAAATTAAATCAATTGTTCAATAATATGAAAGTTTATTTATTCATTCGTTCATTCCTGATTAACTTAAAGCGATTTACAGTTAGCTACAGTCATTTAGTTGAATTGTCTATTTAATATAATGACTGCAAGATTGAATCTTTCACAGTATCTGCAGCCTGCAGATGAAGGCAGTATTGCAGTACCTTTTTTATCCACTTGGTGGGAGTATTTAATCAGGAGCAGCATCTGTGACTGAGGGAACATTTTCATCTTAGTTTAATCTCCAATTGATACGTGCAATTTATCAACCTGGCTCACTGCATTAGTGCCATGCCTTCAGCAATGCAAACACACACCTGTGTATTTATTCCTGCCTCAGTGACATATACAGAGTGTATAGTTGTGCCCTGAGCTGGCTCATAAATTCTAATTCCCCCTTAATTTGCTTTCATTAGTGAGACGTCAGCATTTCCTGTATTTGAGACCCCGTCTTTTATAGATGATATCTAGCTCACCTATCTTGGTTGAACACTTCCAAGCTTCACATCAAAATGAGAGCAACAGCTGAACTAGGCAACCGCCTGCGCCGCTCAGAATGTCCCATGTGAGCCAGCTGATAGAGAGCGTTTTGACTCTCTGAGGGTTGTCTTGTCAAAAACCCATCCAGAGGAATATAAGGAAAAGCTGTCTCACTGTCTTCTCTCTTGTCTCCTGTGGGCCTAAAACTCCTTTAAACTCAACCACAGCCTCCCCCAAAAAAACCCAAAACCTTTCAAGGACTCAGATGCTAGTTTTGCTTTAAGTTCTTTCAACAACAACAACAACAACAACAACAACAACAACAAATCTAGATTATCATTTCAAGAATAGCACGTTGCTAAAGGCAAGTAAACGCTGCAGAAAATACATAAAAGCCCGACGGATCACATCAATGTTTGGGCTTAAAACAATCTGCAACACAATGCATTATATATGTCTCCACAGACAACTGTTAGCTGTCATTGTTACTGTTATTTTGTGCTGCAAAATGATCGTTTGAATCAAATATAGAAGATGTTTCCATTAAGTGTGACGCAGCTCTCACACTCAGTGATAAATACTGCTTTTCTGTCTGCTTATAATTTCACAGAAAAGCCTCAAATGTGTGTGTATGTACAGTTTACCTGATGGTTGTAGATGATAAAGAGCAGTGTGAGCAGGAGTTTGGTCCTCTTGTGCCAGGCTGGCATTGGAGCCGGCATGGCTCTGTGTTCACATTGAAATCAATTGGTGTCTGGTCTCTTGGCTTTCCTGCCACCTCATGCCTTTCGCTTTGGCTTGTCGGGCCTCTCACTCATCCTTGCTTTAGCGCCGTACTTCCTTTTTTGCACTGCTGTTCCAGCTTCACTGCATCAAAAAGAGTGGATTTGAACCTGACCTCCTTCCAAGAAACTCCGAAAATTTTGTTACAACAGAAGATGATTTGAAAGAATTGTGCTCAAAGCTGGTCTCCCACCTAAACCAGTTATCCTTAGAGTTCCTCAGATCCAGCAAATGCTTCCACTCTAGTTCTTCAATTAGCTACTATATTACTTTTTAATAACAGATTT